ATTTGTTCTTTGAATTCGACAACATCATTAGTGTTCGACCCGGTAATGATCAAGTCATCAACATAGACACCAACAATAAGAATTTTGTCTTTTGAGTTCCTTTTGTAAACAGTTGGGTCTTGTGAACTTTTTGTAAAACCAAGCCTTTTTAAGCTTTTATCCAAACGAATGTTCCAAGCTCGAGGAGCTTGTCGTAGACCATAAAGAGCTTTATAAAGCTTGAACACCTTGTGACTGTTTGCTTTATCAACATATCCTTCTGGTTGGGTGACATAAACCTCCTCTTTGAGATCTCCATTGAGAAAAGCCGATTTGACATCGAGATGGTGGACAACCCACCCATGTTGAGCTGCTAAGGCAAGAATGAGCCTTACGGTGTCAAGTCGTGCTACCGGTGCAAAAACTTCATCAAAGTCGACTCCTTCCTTTTGTACAAATCCTTTTGCTACAAGTCGAGCTTTATGCTTCACCACTTTTCCCAAGTTGTCTTTCTTCACTTTAAACACCCATTTCAAACCGATTGCTTTGTGTCCGGGTGGCAAATCGGTAAGTTGCCATGTCTTGTTCTTCTCGATTGCATCCAACTCTGTTTGCATAGCCTCCTGCCATGCCTTAGAGGTTACCGCCTCTTTAAAATTCAAGGGTTGATCCGCTGCAATCATCAACAATTCTCCGGGTTCAAGGAACACATTTTCGGTTTCAAAATAAATATCGGTTAACGGACGCAATCCCCTTGGCCCAATCTCACTAGAAGGGCTTTCCATATGGGGCAAGGTTGAAGAAAACGGGGCTGAGACAGTAGTATGTGGAGCTGGTTCAGGCTCGTCAAGTTCAGCATATGGTTGTCCAACTTGGATAGCATCGATTCCTGGGCTGTTTGGTTGTTCTGGATTGATTTCGGGGTCATTTTGAGGTGTTTCGAGGTGTATTTGGGGTTGTGGTTCAATTATGGTAAAGGTCTTAGGAGTCGCCATCTCTTCTTCTTTGTTTTTGTACCAATTCCATTCTTCTTTTTCGTCAAAAACAACATCGCGACTAACTCGCAACTTTCGGTCTTGCGGATCAAACAAACGGTTGCCTTTAGTTCCATCTTCCACACCTAAATACACCATCTTCTTACTTCGATCATCAAGCTTCTTCAGGTGACCACCTACAAGTTTAGCAAAAGCAACACAACCAAAAACTTTTAGATGTTCAAGGTTGGGCTTTTTGCCAAACCACGTTTCATAAGGCGTCTTGTCGGGAAGTACTTTTGTTGGCAGGCGGTTGAGAAGATAAACTGCATGTCTAACCGCTTCTCCCCAAAACTCTCCCGGAACATTTCTACCTTTGAGCAGACTTCTTGCCATGTCCATAACGGTCCGATTTCGCCTTTCTACAACTCCGTTCTGTTGAGGCGAATATGGTGTCGTAAGATGCCTTTGAATACCATTTTCTTCACAAAATAATGAGAATTCTTTTGAAGTGAACTCTCCCCCTCGGTCCGTTCGAAGTGTCTTTATTTGATAACCCGAATTCTTTTCAACCATCAACTTGAACCGTTTGAAAGCGCTCAAGGCTTGAGACGTCTCTGATAGCATGTAAACCCACATCCACTGGCTAAAATCGTCTACTAAAAGGAGAAAATATTTACTCCCTCCAACAGACGTAGGTGTGATCGGACCACATAAGTCCGCATGAACAAGTTGTAGAGGTTTTTGAGCTCGAAAAACTGCATGATCCGGGAAAGGAATTCGGGTTTGTTTGGAAAGAACGCACCCTTCACATACTTGGTTTGGGTGCTCAATCTTTGGGACTCCGATTGCCATATTCTTTTTGGACAACTTCTTTAAGGCGAGAAAGTTAACATGACCGAGTCTAGAATGCCATATCCAAGCTGGTTCGTCTTTTGTTGCTAAAAGACAAGTCGGTCTACCGGTCCTTAAAGGAGTTTTATATAACCGGTTTGGGGATCGTTTAACTCTCAAAAGTAGAGTTTTGTTTCTGTCAAATAATGTTAGATCCGACCCATCCATTATGACCCGACTCCCTTCCTCCGTCATTTGTCCAAGACTAATAATATTGTTTTTTAGACTTGGAATGAAATATACCTCATTAAGGAGTCTTTGGTCGCCATTTTTGCTATCGAATAAAATCGACCCTTTTCCCAAAATAGTGACGGTCGAACCATCCCCAAATTTCACATGGCCCGTAACGTGTTCATCTAGTTCCCGAAACTTTGAGCGGTCTCCAGTCATGTGATTTCTAGCACCGTTGTCGAGATACCATACCTCAGACTCGACTCGACTTTCTCCCGATGCAAGAAGATTAACACAAATCTTCTCTTTTAGAGACACTTTTTTGTGTGCATATTCTTGTGAGGTTGCCATCATTAAAATAGGCTCTTCTTCATTGGCTTGAGTGAGGTTTGCCTCCTCACCTCGATTCTTGTTTGGACACTCCGAAGCATAATGACCAAATTGTTCACAAGTAAAACATTTGATTTTACTTTTATCCTTTCGAGAAGGATTATGGTCATTCCGATTTGTATTGTACTCGCGACCACCTCCTTGGCCACGTCCACGACCTCGGCCTCGTCCCCGGCCTCGGTTACCATGTCCTCCTCGTCCTCTTGAAGTGTTTGACGAGTTTCTCTCGCCAGTTTGCTTCGAACGAGATGCCCACTCGGCATGTGTAAGCAATAGAGAAGGTCCTTCTTCTTTTTCTCCATAGCTTCGAAGTCTCTCTTCATGGGTCTTAAGACGACCCACAACTTCTTCCACCGTCATATTCTTCAAATCTCCGAATTGCTCGATCGATGTTACGATTTGTATAAATCGTATCGGTACGGCTCGCAAAAACTTCTTCACAACCGTAATTTCTTCAATCTTTTCACCTAGAGATCGAATACCGGTTACGATAGTATTCAATCTCATGGAAAAATCATCTACCGATTCACTGTCTTTCATCCGGATCACCTCGAAGTCACTTCTCAAGGTTTGAGCTTTAGCCTCCTTGACCCGATCGGCTCCCATGTGCATCATCTTGAGCGTTTCCCATGCTTCTTTAGCTGTGTCCTTCTCAGCTAACATCAGAAGTACGTCCTCTGGAATTGCTTGATAAATAGCCGCAAGAGCCATCCGATCTTTACGTTCGTCCGTTTCTGCATTTTTAATTACATCCCATACTCCTTGTGCTTGTAAATTCACTCGCATTTTTATGGCCCACACCGCGTAGTTCATCTTCGTGAGCATTGGATAGTGTAACGTAACGCTACCGTCTTTCCCGGTCCTTTGAAAACTTTCAACTCCGGCTTGAGAAGATGACGAGGTTGGTGTAGTCATTCTTGGCATATACTTGGGCATACACGAGTAAGAAAATTTTTTTTCTAAGTACGGGGACCAATATGAACTTTTCAGAAGTTCAGGGGGCAAATAGAACTTTTATAGAAGTAAAACAGGGGCTAAATTGAAATTTTTCTGAAAAACGGGACCAAAATTGTAATTTTTCTGAAAAAACAGGGGCTAAATTGCACTTTCCGAAAAAACAGGGGCTAAACTGCAATTTCCAGAACTTTGGTCAGCTGCTGACGTCACTGCTGAGGTCACTGCTACAGTGCTGCTACAGCACCTGCTACAGTGTCGTCTTCTCCAGCAAACCCTGGTTTTTCTGGCGACTTTTCCGGCAGATTTGACCAACTTTGACCGGTGATTTGGAGGCCTTCCGGTGGTCAAAAAATTTAAAAAAATATATTATCGGAATCCTCAGAACGAGACCTTTCCAATGGTGTACTCCGAAATTATTTTTGAGACAAAAAATGTTCGACCAAAAAACAAAGAATGCTTCCCCCGGAGCTTAACCAAGCTCTGATACCACTTGTTGGGGTTGAAACACACTTTTATTCAGAACTAGAACAAAAGAGAAGAGCTTACACGCTCAATATTACAAGAAAAAGAAACAACCCTCTAATACTCACTCTAAGTATTACACACTACACTCTCTGTTTGTGGTGTCTTACAACTGAGGTTAGAGCCTCTATTTATACTTAAACAAGCCTACAATTACTATTGCTACCATTTATTGTGTTCATTATGTGAACATACGAAGTTGCCATTTGAGTTCTTATTGTCAACAAAGGAGGCATTCATTTGTCAACAAAAGAGGGTGATACAGCTCCTCATGGCAGGTTCACACCCAAGTAGGTTTACACTCACAGATTTGCACTATATGTGTTGCAGGCATACATTGATAAACGATTGTGACCTGAACGTTACTAAGACAGAAGGAAGATATCTTGAGGGCCAGGGCTCAAGAGGGATGTATAGACACACACACACGTACACACCAGAGATAAAGATTGCATAGCTTGTAAGGAGAAGCATCCCTTATAGTAGCTACATCTTTCTATTATGAGTATAGAGCAGTAACACTTGGGATTCAGGGAGATAAAAGTGTTACAGTAGAACAGTTGATTAAACTCATGTACGAAATCATATTCAAATCATTATTTTAAAGCTGATGTGTACACCTCAATTCAGTGAATGTTTTATTGAGAAGGCAAGGAATGAAAATACACACATACCCTGATAGTACCGGTTCTTGAATTGATAACCATGAGGCATATCCATCTTGACATATGGACTCCCGTATCTCATAAAACCGTATATTTTTGTACGCTGCGGTTACCTGTTTTCCAACTTTAGGGAGATGGTATGTGTGTGTGTGTGTTTGTGTGCGTGTGTCTGTTTGAGAGAGAGAGAGAGAGAGAGAGAGAGAGAGAGAGAACCGGAGATTACAGACTTAAATAAAGTGTAGAGAATCATAAACAGTTTTTGGGTCTCCAGAAATTGTGAACCTACCAAAGTTCGCAGATAAACAGGCCCATCACGATTGATTTGTTCATAGAAATCAACAGTTTCAAAGAAAATGACGTTTTTAGATCAGAAAATATCGATAACCTAGGGTTACATATATGCTCATGAAGGCTTTGTGTGCGAACTTTCCCCTTTTTTGCTCCATATTTATCTGAACTCTAGTGGTGAAGTATTTGGATAATACAATCGATCTTTACAGTTGATAGAACTAGAAGCTTCTCGAGCAGTTGCTTCGTCGCTGCTGTTGACTATGTTTGTCTTGTTTGAAGCGTCTAACGCTGCTGAAGAGGAGGCCGCAGCTGCCGATGCTCGCTGCCTCTCAAACTCCCTATGCTTATGCAGGTAGCGGGCAATGGCCTGAGAGTAGTCATCAAACCCTAGCGACCCGAGAGCCCAACAGATGTCGTCTCCATTAACGGTCTTGCGGTTCTCCTTATGACACTTGTCAGATGCCTCCCCGGTAACAAAACTTATGAACTCCGATGCACACTCTTGTATAGTTTCCTTGGCTTCTTTGGAGATCTTGGCGGTGGGTGGTAGGATCCTTTTCATGATCCGACCCACATTTGCAACGGGTAGCAATTTATCATGCTCATCCACCATGTTTATATCTATCTTTATGTTTAGTCAAGATCTTCTAAAACGCAGACACGTTTCACTTTATATATATGTGTATCAATACATACCCACATGTCCATATAATTACATGCTGTGTTTACATATATGTATGTATGCACATGCCATGGAAATGTCTTGGGGGTGCTGTGAAATTTCTATTTATATTTTTTCTAAAACTGTTCATTAATAATGGTTTTTAAAAAGAAACTGAATCAAATGATGACTATAAAGTGTGTTTTGTAACGGAATGTTAAAACAAGGAAGGAAAAGCATGAAGTAGGATGAATAAGAACTACATCGATCCAGCTAGTGGAAAAAATCTGAACATTGAAGTTAATATCATTATATTCACCCCCTCACTTTTGGTACGCACCCGATTTTACCAAACTACTAATACACAAAACCGGGACGTACGTAATTTGAAATTTATCCCACTAATGACATTTCTTAATTTCCCTTCTGCGCATCATCCTTCACCTCCCTTACATTTGACCTAGTCTAGGACGCATATACACAAATGGTCTTAATTTGTTCAGATGCCAATCCTAATATTGAAGTTGAGAAATGTCATTAGTGGAATAAATTTCAAATTATGTACGTCCCAGTTTTTGCACACTAGTTTGATAAAATAGGGAACGTACCAATAGCGCAGCTGGGGGTGATATTATCTTCAATGTTCAGATTTTTTCCACTAGTACCAAAACTACTACGTACAAACCATTAATGATCCTTTATTAAACTCATCAATTGTACCGGTCTTGAGCTTAATTTGGCCAGATGACCATTTGTTCATCCATGCCATTTGTTTCCTCACATGTACGTACCTACCTTATCATTGGTAATTCTTGTACAACTCAACTTATCTGATATTAGCAGTGCAATATTCAATGATAGAGTAAATAAAGTTATCTAATCTGAAGATGAAAAGTTATTTTCATATACTTTACTGAAAACATGAAAGTATTGAGGTATACAATGTTCTTGAGTTTCATGTACTTTATTGAATACATGAAAGTATTAAGGTATACATTGTTCTTGTATAATTCAAGCTAGGGATGAGCATCGGTCCGGATCCAGACCGAACCGAACTGAGAACCGAAAAACCGAGAACAAATTTACTGGGAAATAGATACCGGAAACTAGACAATTTAGTTGGTTGCTTTACTCCGTCTCGTAGGAATGCCAGTAGTGTTCTTGCAAGTCTCCTAGGGCTTCTTATCACACGCACTGAAGGTAAGAAGAATCATGAATTGCAATTCCTGTTAAATAGGTTGATTTAAAAAGTGAGTACTTTACTTTGTTTTCTTCATTACACATTTTGATATGTTTTTAGTTTATGTTCAATTCTTAATTTATTAATCACGTGAGTAGGTTCCATCTTTGTTATTGGATTTTGATTTTCCAATCAATTTAGGGTGATGAATCGATTAAGGGTTTATAAGAGATTTGCACCAAATTTGAAACCAAATTGGACTTTAGATATTGATATATGTATGAAGGACAACACCCTTCACAAAAGCATTTATAATCACTTGATTGAATAAGCAATATGTGAAAATTATAAAAACTTAACCATCACGTCTATAATTTTGATTATATATTAAGGGTTTAGAAGATTCCAAAAACTACGTGTCGAACACGTCTATAATTTTGATTATATATTATTCGCATAGTGCTTACACGAAATGTTTTTGCATATATATGCAAAAACATTTCGTGTAAGCACTATGCGAATAATATATAATCAAAATTATAGACGTGTTCGACACGTAGTTTTTGGAATTTTCTAACTTCTAGTTTTTAAGAAAAAAAAATTTTTAAAAATTTCGATCTGCAACAACTTTTAGCTTTTGGGTTAATAAAAAGTTTTAAATCCAAAAGTTTTTTTAACTAGCGTTTAATAATTTTTTTTTAGATTTTAATAAATTGCCTTAAATACTATTCAAAATAAGTAACAATATCCACACTTTAGGTAATTACCTTATACAATTAAATATAAATATAATTTAATAATTATGATGTGTTTAATTGAAAGACTATATCAACAGATTTTATCATTTATTAATTTTCATCTACAAAGTTATATATATATATATATATATATATATATATATATATATATATATAGTGTAACGCTCGTTTCTTGATTCTCGATATGTGATTCTTTTAATTTTTAAATTTGTGATTTGGCTTGACTCGATGTGTTGTTATATGATAGAAGAAGGTGAAGAAGGTGATTTTGAGCGATAGAGTGCTAGATCTTCTTAAGTGTAAACCTTCTATCCTTGCTTAGGATTTTTGTAAGTATTAACGCTCCATGTTTTTTTTTCTTTTTTGCATTTAGAATTATAGATCTAGGTTATTTAGCTTATTCTTGGTCCTTTCATGTTGTTTGGTTGGATTTTGGAAAACTCCAGACCCAAATGTTAAGTTTTAGGGTCTTTTGGACCCTTTGGGACATTTAGAGATGGTTTTGGTCCTTTGTGTTGTGTCATGCATGGTTATGGTTGCATTTTTGGTCCCTTTTAACCTAAATGTAGACATCTTTGTCTTTCGAACGTGCAAAATGATAAAGTTGTGAACTTTATCCATTAATTCCATATTTTGATGAGATTTAGAGGGTTAGAGTTCAGGTCTTGAAGGATTAAAACCTTAGGTGAAAGTTGGTTGTTAATTCAGAATTCATGGTGCGACTGACTTAGGGTCTCAATGTGACTTCAAGGGGTTTCGCGACAATTTTATTGTCTTGCAATCACAACATGACCAATAGTTCGTCACGACGTGAAGACCATTGACCTGACGGTTGACTTTTTGACGAATTTGACTTTTGGTCAAATTGGAGTTTTTGAGTTATAGGTGAGATTTATACTACTATTGGTCTGACAATTCATGTATCTGATTCGCTAAACTTCGAGTAGTTGGATTCAACTCTCTAATTCAGGCGAGTCTGTGCATTATACTGTGTAGGACACTAGGTATGATGTATGTTTGTGTGTCTATGTGATATGTATAAAAGACTATGGTTGTACCGTAGCACTTGTATGAAACACTATGGTGGTACCGTACAACTTGTATGAAAGACTATAGTGGTACCATAACAACTAAATGAAACACTATGTACGATCATATCATCAAAACTATAGTGGTATTGTAGTAACAGAAGTGAGCATAAGACTACGATGATATCATAACACTCACCTTAGTATATAGTATGTTAGCAAACTCACTAAGCTTTGTGCTTCTTCTTTAAGTTTAAAATGTTTCATATTGTTCTAGCAGCAATGGGAAGGGCGCGACTTGATTGCATTACATCCGTAGATTATGGTTTGAAACAAATGGTTGTATACCTATTTGAGAGTAAAATTTTTATGCTTTTATTTTAATTTAAAAATGAAAAATTTGGGTTGAAATTGGGATATTACAAGTTGGTATCAAAGTCTTGGTTTGAGGGATTTGGACTAGCACGAGGTGTGTCTGAATTCAGATTGAGGTCCGAGTGATTTGTTTAATAAAAACATTTTATAAACGGTTTTTCTAAAAGAAAAAGATATGATGTGTGCATTCAACTAGAGCTCAAGTAAGTTATTCCCAACATATGCATACATGCTTGTTATGATAATTATGTTATAGTATGATTTACATGCTAGAGTTAGGCTAATGATCTACTCAGGATTGTATGATAGAATGCATGCTAGAAAAAGATGCCTTCATATGTCTGTTACATGTATGATATGTGCTTGTTAGGCTTTATTATAATATTGATGGATTGTTTAGTGAATGCTTTAGAGTTGTACATGATTAGGACTAAATGGTCTTAGAACTTTTGGTTCAACCCTATTATCTCTTCTTGTCTGATAAAGGCCTTACAATAGAGACATCTATTCGAATTTCTATATTGTCCTTGGTTATGTACAACTTGTATTCATGAGACGATTTGTCGACGATAGTATCCTGATTGATTTTCTTACTATCTTTACTTTCTAATTTAGGGATGTAAACCCTTTTGCTTTGTGTTTGAATTAGAAGAATCATTGAGGTTATGGATTAATTTTCTATTTGGATTATTTATGAGTGTTTAATTTATTTTGTCAAGTTTTGTTGAAGATCCATATATGTTAAAGATCGTTACTCTATTGCTTATTGTTGAATTAGTAGAGTTTAAGATGATCAATCTAACTTTATTAATTTGAATCATAGTTTTCCATGATCATTGGTAATTATGACTAGAGTCAGATCAATATCTAGGGTTAGGATAATAAAGTAATGAACTTTAATGTGTATGCACGTATTAGATGATCATTCTAAGAGTCATTTAATTCCTATGATCATTCGGATAAATAAAGATCAAATCTTTCTTAATACGAACTCAACAATGAATTTAGGGATAATTAATGGCATGAATATGAAATTTAGAGTCTTTAAATTCATTACGATTAGTAGTCTGATCATCATGCTAGTCATATTAGGAATCCGTGAATAGTGAATGAATAATCTTTCCACTTAAGTAATTATCCATGCTTTTGAGATGCAATCCAATTTAAACCAAAGTACCCGAAGTGACCCGTTTCCATTCAGTTTATCTTGGTAGTTCGTTATTGATTTACGTGTGCTTTTATAATCAAAATCCCCTTTAATGGCTTCTGTTTATCTCGAATAACAGATAATAAAAAATCTAATGTTAATTTATTATCGTTCCCCAAGTGTTTGACACCTTTTCTTTCCACGACTATTCTATTTCACGATTAGGTACACTGACTAGTGTGTGAAAGCTAGTTGATATAGAATTGGATATATAAATTTAAAACTAGGGCATAAAATACACATCAAGTTTTTGCCACCGTTGTCGGGGAACGATTTTCAATTAATTTAGTTTGTCTGATTATTCTTTATTGTTATTTTATTTTAGTTTATTTTTCTTTTCTTTGATAACGTGTCACTTTTTGTAAAGATTTTGTTGTTATGTGCTGAAATTTTTGGATGATACG